GTGTGGCCCAATATGCTAATGAGTTTCTGCTGCTGGGTGTGGCCTGTTATGCTAATGAGTTCCTGCTGGACTTTTTCTACAAAAAAAGCCCTGCTCAGGGCCCATCCTGTTTAGCTTCAGTGATCTGATGAGATGGGGCTGCCTTCCTTAGGAAACCAGCAGAGGGGTTAAACAGGGTTTCCTGGGGCCAGGTTGTGAAGCTGGTATCCATAGCTGGTATCCATAGTTCTGCATCTAGATTGCCTTGACACACGCTCAAGTCCAGCATCCTGTATCTTCTCCCACATTTCCTTTCATCCTGCCATTTCTACACAAATGCACAGGACGGAGGGGGAAGAGGCCGGCCTCCTGTCTGCAGTTCCCCCCTCCCTTCATCGGCTAACCCTGCCATTGCAGCGATTCACACAGTTGTGCTGCCCTCCATTTTTTGCTTGTGTTCTTAACTCCCTCCTTTCCCCCCCTTTTGTCGCTAGAACTGGGGCAAGCAAAGTCTTCTTCATACCTTGGGGGTAGTATTAGGTTGTTGTGATGCGTGTCCTTCTGTTGATAGGCAACCACCTCTCGACACCCACCCACCCTTTTCTCTTTCTCCATTTTAGCTGAGGAGTTGTCTCCTTGGCTGCCTGCCTGAGTCCTCTGCTCTCCCCCACCGTTTCAAGTCACCATGTCGGGGCCGGGAAGCAAGAGGGCGGCAGGCGATGGGGGCTCAGGTCCCCCTGAGAAGAAGGCCAACAGGGAAGAGAAGACCACCACCACCCTCATTGAACCCATCCGGCTGGGGGGCATTTCTTCCACGGTAAGGCCCTGGGGATGAGGGGTGTGTGTGTGGGAGGGGGTGAAGTCTGTCTGATTTCTGTTTTAGTTTCCTGTTTTGGAAAGAAATGCTGGGACTCCTCGTGAGTATGCTCTCTGGCCTTTTAAACAAGTGACCCGCTTTGATGGGACGTTAGGCAAGCACTGAGAAACATAACGGAACCAGCCAGAAAAATTCTAGGCATGTGGTTGCCTAGGAACTGGATGTCACCACCAGGGTATCTGAAGTATTTCTTCAGGCCTGTGTCAGGGTGATGACTTGAAATGAGATGCCAGTGCCAGGGAATCTGAAATGTTTGTCAGGCTTTTTCACGAGCATGCAAAAAAAGAAGGAAAAAATTCTGACATCTCCCAAGTCAAAAGAGACAGGTTTGATAGAGGTAGTGGTAGGTTGCATCACTCAAACGATTGTCTGAGGTCTTATTTTCCTGCTATTAATGTATTTGAAAGCCCAGGAAGCCAAAGATAGATAAGGTCTTTGCAACCTCACCCTTGTAACAGGGTGCTCAGATCCATTTTTTGTGTGCCGTATATTTGCCTTACCGTTAAAAGACCAGCTGGCACTGCTCTCAATCCAGGGACCATCACTAACATGATGTAGGATGCGAATGATATGCTAATAAGAAATGCAGAACTCAGCAACTCAGACTGTACTGTTTCCATATCTATGACCTTTTTTCTTGGTTTATTTTTTGAGGATTTGAGTAGAAACATTTGAGCATGGCCACGGGGTGACTAATACGCTTTGCAGGTGAGGGTTTGGGGTTACGTAATGGGGATGCTGATCTAATACCTTGTGAGTAGAAATGCTAAAGGGGGAGGCAGAGAGTTGGGCTGTGGATTTAATCCCAGTGACAGGCTTCTTTTCTGCAGGAGGAGATGGACCTCAAGGTGCTCCAGTTCAAGAACAAGAAATTAGCTGAGCGCCTGGAGCAACGGCAGGCCTTTGAGGACGAGTTGCGCGAGCGCATCGAGAAACTGGAGAAGAGGCAGGCCACTGACGATGCCACTCTCCTGATCGTCAACCGCTACTGGAAGCAGGTCCGGGCCCCTCCCCCCGGCTGATGATTTGCCCTGAAGTTCCTAGTGTCAGCTACGCTGCCATGGGGGTTGGGGAGCTCAGTCTATGTCTGGTTAATTGCTCCTGCATTCCTTTCTGTGCTTGTTCTGCATTGCGCCGAAATGCTTATCTATACAGATGTGCAGGAGGGAGTTGTATTGTCTGGGTTTCTCCTAGGTGCCGTGGGAGAGTGTTGGTTCTCAGCTTTAGGTACCTAACGGTCTCCAAGCTTTATCCCGCGCGCGGGAGGGTGCCTAATTGGCCAGTGCCATTGGGGGGGAGGTGCATACGAATACCCTATATCCTATTATGCCCATGGGGCCGCTGCCATTCTTAACAGTGCTTATGTTACTGCATCTATAGCTCTGCAATAAAAGTATCACCGTTCCTGAATGCGTGTACTTCGTTGTTGGCTGTGGGTTCTGACACCTAGGCCTGAACGTCACAGATAAGAGCTTGATCACTGGTCCTTTTTTCCAAGTCACAGCCACCTTATGGCAACTCCATAGGGTGTGCAAAGCAGGAAGTGTACAGAGGTGGTTTGGAATTTGCCTGCCTCTCTGTGGCAACCCTGGAATTCCCCAGTGATCTTCCATCCCAGTGCTACTCAGGGCCAGGGCTATTTTTGGGCAGGAACGCACAGGAACGGAGTTCCGGCTGGCTTCCAAGTTGGCCACACCCAGCAGGAACTCATTAGCATAACAGGCCACACCCAGCAGTAGAAACTCATTTGGATTGGCTACATTAGAGGTGTGTGGCCTAACATGCAAAGGAGTTCCTGCAACAAAAAAAGCCCTGGGTTTTGACAACAAACAAGGTAAACAGAATAAGAATCAAAAGGTGGGTGTGGCTGGATGACCACACTTCTGGTAACACGGGGGTGTGGCCTAATATGCTAATGAGCGGTGCAATCAGGGGTGTGGCCCAATATGCTAATGAGTTTCTGCTGCTGGGTGTGGCCTGTTATGCTAATGAGTTCCTGCTGGACTTTTTCTACAAAAAAAGCCCTGCTCAGGGCCCATCCTGTTTAGCTTCAGTGATCTGATGAGATGGGGCTGCCTTCCTTAGGAAACCAGCAGAGGGGTTAAACAGGGTTTCCTGGGGCCAGGTTGTGAAGCTGGTATCCATAGCTGGTATCCATAGTTCTGCATCTAGATTGCCTTGACACACGCTCAAGTCCAGCATCCTGTATCTTCTCCCACATTTCCTTTCTCCAAACTCTGTTTCCTATCTCCTTCCTCCAGCTGGATGACACAGTGCAAGGACTACTGAAACGCTGTGATGGAGATTGCGGGCAGCCTCCGGAGGACCCCAGGCTGGATGCCACGGGGGCGGAGTCAGAGAGCGTGTCTGTCCTAGGGCAGGAAGGGCCGGAGAGGAGAGGTGCGCTGAGTTTCTTGCACTGAGGGATTGGGCAGGGTCGGACGAGGGGCCGTTCCCTTTTTCCTGTTGGCCCTGACACAACTCTTTTGGTCCCTCCAGAGACAATCCTGTCCCCCGTTACTCCTCCTACCTCCTGGAAACCTGGCGGCCTCGTGCTGAATGAGCCGGCCCTCTCCTTCTTGGCTACCTTGGCCAGCAGCAGCAGTGAAGAGATTGAGCTGCAGCTTCAGGAGCGCATGGAGTTCTCCAAGGCGGCCGTCTCCCGGGTCGTGGAGGTCTCTGACAAGATCCACCGGCGCACGGAAGAACTCTGCCAGAAGATCCACGCCCGTGGTGAGGCTTGACCCCCACCCCACCCTCCCCGAAGTCATGGAAGGGTTGAGAGGCCCTTGAAACATTTGACAACACTCT